GACTTGGGTAGCACAAATCACCCCTGGTTAAGTTATTGTTCTCCTTTCAATGCATATCCTCGGTGACTGTTCGAATCCTGTAGCATCTCGACTTTTATCTTACTCAACTCCTCATCCCCTTCGCTCTCCTGTCTCAAGGCTTCCCAATCTAGGACTAGGGGTACCGATAGGGTCGTCAATTGGGGTTCTTCCACCTTTCTCGATAGTGCGACAACTGCTTTGTTCTCTAATCTGGGCTGATACTGAATCTCAAAATCATACCCCAGTAGCTTGGATAGCAATTTTTTATGCTCCACAGTCATACTTTAAACTCCTCTGATCTGTCATGACCAAAAAATGTTGTCCCAACGGTAGGGTACCCTGATGCATCCGTCTCCACCACAAATGGTTTGCTGAAATCCGGAAGTGTTAATACCGGTACACTAATCACGACCCTCTTCAGATGTTCAAATGTTGTGTTGCTATTTCCCCACTTTTAAAATTTTCTTTTCTCAATTCCTCCGTCAGTAGCATGCTATCGTGTCATATCCTCTCATGAACTTGCGGTAATAGCCGGTGAGACCCAAAAATCCTCTCAACTTCTTCAAACTCCTTTATAAGGGCCAATAAATCATAGCCTCTATCTTGGACTAATCCACTGCCACCCCTGTGTTGGCCACCACATGCCCTAGGTACTCTACTTGACTGTGCAAAAGAACATTTCTTCAGGCTGGCATACAACTGGTGTTCCCTCAAGTTCTCCAGGACTGTCCTTAGGTGCCCCACATAGTCCAGAAATCCTCTCAACTTCTTCAAACTCCTTTATAAGGGCCAATAAATCATAGCCTCTATCTTGGACTAATCCACTGCTACCCCTATTTTGGTCACCACATGCTCTAGGTACTCCACTTGCAACTGTGCAAAAGAACATTTCTCAGGTTGGCATACAACTGGTGTTCCCTCAAGTTCTCCAGGACTGTCCTTAGTTGCCCCAGGCCCCCACATGATCTCCTCTGTACTATTGTAGACCAAAATCTCATCAAAGAAATCCAACATAAACTTTTTGAGATAAGGCGTAAAAATCATATTCATGAGAGACTGAAATGTCATTGTCAAACGACACCATTAAAAATTCATAATGTCCTTCATGTGTTCTGAACGCTGCATTGTGCACATTCGCTGGATTCATCCTGATCTGGTGGTATCCCGACTTAAGATGAATTTTTGAAAGGATGACTGACCCATAAAGTTCATCGAGTAACTCATTTGTTCAAAGTCTGGTAGTCCACATAGAATCTCCAACTGCCATACTTTTTTTTACTAATAAGACTTTACTAGAAAAATGGCTCATACTAGGCCTGATTATCCCGGCCTCGAGCATCTCTCGGATTAGCTTTTCTATCTCATCTTTCTAAATTTGGGGTACTTGTATGGTCTGACGCTTATGGGGGAAACACCCCACTTCAAGGTAATATCGTGTTAGTGCTCCCTCGGGAGAAGATACCCCGTAAAATTGTAAAAAGACATCCATAAACTGTTGTAGGAGTTGTTGGATCCGTTCAGCAAACTCTGTCAACTATGAATCTCGAATCTCCTCAATGCTCTGCAACTCCACCAAGTATGTCAGCTATGCTCCTCAAATCGGCTTGACCATGTTTTTTGGGCATACCATAGTTTTGCATAAACCAGCATCTCCTCTCAGCATCACATGTATTGTGCACATTCGCTGGATTCATCCTGATCTGGTGTACTGACTTAAGATGAATTTTTGAAAGGATGACCGACCCATAAAGTTCATCAAGTAACTCATTTGTCCAAAGTCTGGTAGTCTACATAGAATCTCCAACTACCATACTTTTTTTTACTAATAGGACTTTACTAGAAAAATGGCTCATACTAGGCCTAATTATCCCGGCCTCGAGCCTCTCTCGGATCAGCTTCCATCTTTCTAAATTTGGGGTACTTGTATGGTCTGACGCTTATGGGGGAAACACCCCACTTCAAGGTAATATCGTGTTAGTGCTCCCTCGGGAGAGATAAACCGCTCAATTGTTAGAAGACATCCATAAACTGTTGTAGGAGTTGTTGGATCCGTTCAGCAAACTCTGTCAACTATGAATCTCGAATCTCCTCAATGCTCTGCAACTCCACCAAATATGTCAGCTCTGCTCCTCAAATCAGCTTGACCATGTTTTTGGGCATACCATAGTTTTGCATAAACTAGCATCTCCTCTCAGCATCACATGCCTACCTTCCACCTGAAACTCCGTTTTAAGGGACTTCCAATCCACCTTTATCTCCCCAAGCGTTCCTAGCTACTTCATCCCCAAAATTACATTTGTGAGGAGCAAATCTAAGGGAATGAAGTCCACCACCAGTAGGTCGTAGAGTATCAGAACCAACCCCTTGCAAATTCCTCGACTTTTCTCCACGTTCCCTGTCCCCATCATCACGCCAAAGCTTCTTGTAGTCATCAACTCTAACCCTAGCTTCTCAACGACTTGATTTGAGATGAAATTATGTGTGGCTCCACTATCTACCAACACCACAATTGGTTGTTCCCCAATCCAACACTTCACATTGGTGTGATTTGGGGTAAATCCCGCCACCGATTTGAGGGATACCTCTGCCACATCCAAATTTTGATGATTCTACTCCACTGTGTCCTCATATGATTCCTCACTCTTCGTTTCTTCCCGCACTAAAAGAATCTGAAGGGCATGCTCCTTGCAACAGTGGACTGGGCGTATTTCTCAATACAACGGTAACATAATCGTTTTGCTCTTTTATTCTGCACTTCTGCATCTGTTAGGTGCTTGAAATTACCCCAAGGGCGGGTCCCTGAATTCTTCTACTTCGGCATTTCTTTCGGAAATGACACAGTCTGGGTCCTCAGTGTTATGGCTGTCATGGTGCTTTTGTAGAATCCTCTGGTATTGTCACATTTGTTGATTCTTTTCACTTGTTTCTTTACCTTCATCATCTGGGCAAGCTCCATCATTTCCCTCAACCCTCGTGGTCTCACGAGGCCGATAGTTGCTCGTATGTCGGGTTTTAGGTCTTTCAAGAGGTTCCCTTTCAGTTCTACTGCAGAAATCCCTATCAACTTTCTTAACAAGAGCTCGAACTTCTCCTGGAATTCTATAACTGTCCTCTCCTGAGTCAGAGAATAAAATTACTCGTGTAGGTCTCCTCCCCGAATGGCTATGAAATGCTCTAACAAGCAATCCTTAAACTCCTCTCATGATTACATCGGATACCTTGCTTCCATTCACTGAAACCATGCTAAAGCCTTTCCCTCTGAGCATAATTTCGCTGCTATGAGCTTCTCTTCCTCAGTTAACTCATTGATTGCAAAGTATCGCACCACCTAATGCACCCACCTATGTGCATCCTCCCTTTCGAAGATTGACATCATCAATTTTCTGACTCTTGCATCTCCACCCCAGCCTCCTATTATTCCTCTGATATTTCCCCCCATGTATCTAGGGTGGAACTCCCTCCTTCAATCATAGGCATGCCTAACGCTTGATTCCCTCATTCCTCCATCGTACTCTTTTGTGCCCCTGACCCCATTTCTCCAATTTTTGACCCATCCTTCTCCATTGGAAGACTCCACTCCCCCTCCTTTTGGAGTCCTAGGGGAACACTCATGTTGGTAAATTATGTCTTCTTTGTTGTTTTTTCGTTTGATCTCCTCTTTTGACCAGCCAAGGATTCTCTGATCAACCTTTATTTAGGGCTTGCGACTGAAGCGATCGATACAGCCTTAGATTGCTCTTCATGAGCTTTTTCATCATCTCCCGCATTTCCCCTATGCTCTTGATTCTGTTATCCATTCAAATTTCAAGGGAAGAAAATTTGTTCTTCATGGTGGCAAACCTCTCTTCCATTTCCGATCTGATTTGCCCTACCTCTCCCTCTAGCACATCCACTTTCTTTATTGCCACATCACTAAGATTTAGGCTCTGTTACCAATTTAATGTGCATCGGGACCAAAATCAGCAAGCAAACGAAGACGGAACAAAAATAGATATGTGGAAAAGTCAAAGAGGGCTGCTCCTCCGAAAAAACATAGGAAAACAAGCAAAGATACAAAGGTGATCTACTATTCGAGAGGTAGATCTACTCTCCCACAACCATAGACGTCGTTAGGAATACCACAAGAAGAAGAAAGAACACAACAACCCAAAAAACATGCATAAAAAAGACAAACCCTAGGTCACTCCCTTTAATAGAAATCCTCCCACAGTAATTCAAAATTTTCCTTCCAACTTTTTCTTCAAACTGCTTTAATCTCTCATCCTTGAGTATGTGATTAAGACCCTCGTGAACCCCTCGTGCTCCCTGCCTTCTTCAGCGTGGCAAATCGCCGCTCCCTGCCTTCTTTAGCCGCTGTAGATTGCCGCTCAGCCTTTTCTTGCGACGCAAACCAGCCAGGCCTGCCGATTGGGGAATTTGCCCGATCCAGAATGTACTGGTTTTGCTACGCCCGGGTCTGTTACGAGCGTGAGTGTAACAGATTGACCTTCTCTAGTATTTTATCCAACTAGATGCTGCTAAAGGACATGGATCAGCAAATTGCATGAATCACTTGATCCCAATTTGACTTTTGGCTCTCATACCAGTTTTATGATGCAACCAAAGAGCGACTTTTGTGGCCAAACTTATTAACCCACTACTTTAGGCCTGGGTGAGGGCCGACCACTTGATATACCATAATCAACATTTTTTATATTAGTCATTATGGGACTAAACGCAATATTGTTTGGTGCTCTAACAGTTAAGTGAGTACAAGGAAAAAAAAAAAAAGTGATCGAATGCTCTTCACATGTTTTTTTTTTAATCTCTTCACATGCTTTCTATCAAGTCTTTTGTGCTGCCGAGCTTAACATCCTATTGATGATTTTGTTTTCTCAGCTATGGTGTTCTCTTAAAAAATCATTTTTTAGTAGAGGGTTGGATATCCTCCACGATGCTTTTAACCAATTTAGCTAATCTATTTTCTTGACAATGTTAAGGCATATTGCCTGTACAGGCAAAACAAACTGCAAGATGCGCTGGAATCGTTAAACAATCTTGAAAGAAGTCTGATGGTTTTACAGTTGGAGTCTCAAATTCTATACCGACTAGGGAAAATGGATGCTTGCACGCAAAGCTATGAGAAGCTACAAAAACTCAAGATTGATTCCTTGGATGTAAAATCGAATTTTATCGCCACTTTGGTATCAGCTGGAAGATCTAATGAAGTACAGGGAATGCTTGATGCTCTGAAAGTTAAACCTTCCAATAGCTTTGAGCTGGCTTACAACACCGCTTGCTCTCTTATTGAAAACAAAAAGTATGCAGAAGCCGAGCAACAACTACTATCAGCTCGAAGGTAGTAACTTCTATAAATTAGCAAAAAGATCAAACTATTCTTGGTACACAAATAGAATTTTAAAACATGTCAAAAATTTTGAGCTATTCACATTTTAGGTGCCATTTTCATTCATATGCTTATGCAACATGGTAATATAAAGCCTACAAGCCAAAATTGATTTGATGTTTGCAACTTTTATTAGATTAGATAGGAGAAAAGTGTCAAAATGGTTCCCTGACATATTGTCGGGAGTTATTTTAGTCTCAGACTATTTTAATGGTGGCTAAAATAGTTCTCATGAGAACCATTTCAGCTCATATTTTAAAAAAGCACAGCGACTAATTTGACACTTCTATAGACTTTAGGACTAAATGACACCCATTTAAATAGTCAGAGGATTATTTTAACATTTCACTCAATTTTGTTGCATGAATTTGAGTGTTGTAGGAAAAAAATTATTCGTTATTGCGACAGAATTATTAAGATAAATTAAGGAATGATTGTGTTATATTATTGAATAATTGATAGTGGTAAATATATGGAGGTGATTTGGACTTGTACAATCATATGAACATACTAGTTATTTAGGTTTGCTTTATAAATCTTCCTTTTTATTTCTTTTTTTCTTTTTTTCCTCTGAGTGTTGTTTGGGTTGTTAAACCTCTGTTTGGCAAAATATTTTGAAAAACTTCTATCATTGTTAACTTAGGTCCTAATCACCCTTTCTAAATCCCAAGCATAAATTTTATCTACTTGTCTAATCAGTATATTTTATAGGAACTGATATACATGTGGTTCAAACATGTAAATAAAGTATAGAAGATATAATCATTAGACAAGCAATTCAAATTAGAGAGAGGATGAAGAAGAAAAATGTGTATAAATAAATAACTTCTATATAATTGTTAAAATTGATTTACCTAGACTAAGCTTTATTCCAGATAGATGTTATAAGATTAATGATAGGAATTTTTGACGAGCTAAATATCTTATTAAATTTAATCAAATTATTGCATTTTAGTGAAAAATGGCATCGTCTAATAAGAAACAAATGGAAAATGAGCATATTTTTAGAGCACGTGCATGAAGTAATTTCCCACATCCGGTTTTCTGTAATATAGCAAAAGGCAAAGTTGCTTGGTTAAAGAATAGGATAATATGGCTTAGGGTAGACTGAAAATAACATTCATAGAACTTTTTTAAATCACAAACTTTGCTTTTAATACGAATCAATGGTTAGAAGGCTTTCTAAGCTTAACTAGTAGAGCTAGATATAATAGGTTTGGAAATTTGTTGCCGGCAGAACCAGCTTATTTGTTATTGGGATTCAAAAAATCAATTTCGAAAATAGTTTCTGCTCCATCACATGATATTGCTGTGGAACTATTTTAAACTTGCATATTGATCATTGTTATCTAATATTCCCTGTGCTGATCAAAACATCTATGCGAAGCTGTAAACCTTATTATTATTTTTTTATTTTTATTTTATTACTTTTTTGTTCTTCGATAATCTCATGATGCAATAATCATTTAAGATGGAGCCTTACTGGTTAAAAATTAATAACTTGGAGTAGGTTGTGTATTTGGTGGGAACTGAATGAATTTGGTATGATATATTCATTTCTAGGTCGAGTTGTTTGTCAAGATCTAAGGTTAATGTTCATATATCGGCTGGCATGTAAACAATACATAGGAAATTACATTCTTTGTCCGTGAATCTTGTTTCTCGATAACCTATTGATAATTTATCTTTGAAACGTTGAATAGAAGTCGGATCAATAATGATATAATTTTTGTTAAATGGAAATATTACAAAATACTTTCTAACATTATAAGGTGAAGGACTTATATCGGTGGAGGAATTTGTTAATGATAAATTCCAGGTAATAAAGAACTCATGAGAAGTGGATTGCAAAACAAAATCATTTGTGTCTGCCCTGTGGGCATTTGCGTAGAAAAGTCAGATTAAGGTTTTAAGATAGGAAACACTTTGAAGTTCATTTATCTTTTCATGTTTCAGTGGCTCAGGCTCAACTCCAGATGGATTTTACATTTTAGTTTTTCAATGGTTTAGATTTCAAAACTTACGCAGCTGTAAATGCTTTACAGAAGATTGGCTTGTGCATTATCGTGTTTGATTTGAAGTGTCAATTCTTTTTCATTGTCATCTAGGATAATGTATACGTAATTATAGCTTAGGCATAGCATCTTAATTATTGGTGGATAATTTGTGTGATGATATAATATTTGGAGTTAATGTTGGGTCGTTAAAAAATGGAAATGTCACTAGTGTACTATACAATGTGACTATTATAGAACTTAAAATTAAATTTTTTGAAAATATTATTGGGTCATTTTTATTTGATGAATGTTAATGTGACAAGAAAGAACTCATTGATATACACCAGTTGAGCTCAATAGAAATTATTGTGCTAAGATGAATATAGGGCCAAAGTAGGAAAGATACGTTGAGAAATGATATTCAAGGGATGATATTTGTACCATTTATCGAAGCTAAAATAATGAAAAATGGATTTTAATGACTTGGGGAATTAAAAACAAAGGCTAGAGATGCATCAATGGGATGTGTTAATACTGTTAACATATAGCAAGGCTTCGGAAGTAAATAGGGTGGATCCAAGGTAACTTGAAAGTTGTCTAAAAAAGTAGCAGAATTGATCTACGCATGCATTTCTTTGGATTGCATTTTAATAATTTATTAATCTGAAATTTTCATAAAGCTGACAACGACAAAGTTGTAATTCTTCTTCTTCGATTCCAGAATCGGCCAGGAAATGCTAATGGATGAGGATTATACTGAAGAAGAGATAGAAACAGAGCTAGCTCCAATATCTGTGCAGCTGGCATATATCCAGCAGGTATGTATGAGTTAATATTATTTTTAAGTTTCCATATGCCAATATTGATGTTGTTATTGAATATTATGTAAATTTCTCTTAGTTACTTGGAAAAAAAGACGCAGCAGTAAAGGCTTATATAGATATAATAAACCGCAACTTGGCTGACGCTTCGTCACTGGCCATCGCTACAAATAATCTTATCTCCTTGAGAGGAACAAAAGATGCTTCTGATAGCTTGAGGAAGCTTGACAGATTAATAGAGAAGGATCAGAATTCGAAGCTCTTTAAACTTGCTAGTGGTCTTGATTTTAAGTTATCGCAGAGGCAGAAGGAGTCCTTATATTCTAATCGCTTGCTTCTACTTCTTCAGACAAATAAGATGGATCAGGTCAGGCCTTTTTATTACGATTATTATTTGAATAATAATTTGTTGCCTTGGCGCCTAGCTTAAGGGTAAATTTATCTTTTATACCTTAGGGCAATTTAGTCTTTTATTTTTTATTTTTTATTTTTTTGGTACAAATAGGCTTGTTATGTTTGGGGTTAGGGTGCTTAAGGGTAAATTTATCTTTTATACCTTAGGGCAGTTTAGTCTTTTATTTTATTTTTGTCTTTTATTTAATTTTTTTTTTTTTTGTACAAATAGGCTTGTTATGTTTGGGGTTAGGGTTATACAAGAGATTGAGTTACGAGTCTTAGGTTTAGGGTTTGAGAGAGATTTCCTACCTCTCGAATTGGGAGAGATTGTTGATTGAGTTACGAGTCTTAGGTTTAGGGTTTGAGAGTGATTTCCTACCTCTCGAATTGGGAGAGATTGTTTGCCTCTCGAATGTGGGTGTTCATCTTTATGTATTTGTGTTGTATTGTTTTGATTTGGTGATCGAGAAATAAAATTTGTGTTTGCCATATTTTTTTTTGGAAAATCGTGTCTATTTCTACTTCGAAGTATCAAATTGGTATCAGAGCTCAAGACTCTAGGAATCAGATCAACAAAAGAGAGGATACTCGTAGCTTACAGATGATTTCAGTATAGAGTCACACGATCGTTCAATCAGACGTCTTCGCGCACAGTCGCGATCAGAGCATTGCCTATCTTGTTCGTGGATCACAATTAGAGCTTGTTGGGAAACTACCTATCGCTTTCATGATTGACGATATAGTCGACATCAGAGGTTTTTTGAGAAAGCGTTGACGACATTGCGGTGTACAGTTCTTCAAACCGGCAGATCACAAAATTCAAAAATCCTTAATTGTCGTCTTTGTTCCCATACAGAGTGGGAGGATGAGATAGCCCGAGTTTCAGGTTAATGCGAGTTTTGCGCCTTTGTTGACAGACGGAGCGGAAGGAGGAGCAAGACATGAGTGTGGGTTGCAGGATTGCGTCAGCATACAAACGGGATTGTGGAACTCTGCGATCAAGTTGTATAGGGATTTTCTGAAGTCAGTGATTGGATCATGAATCGAGCGTGCTCGAGTGACAGGAAATAATGGTGTAAAAAAAATAGACGATTTGGAGAAGAAATTGGAGGAAAAAAGTGGGGAAACATAAATCCAAGATAGAGGAAAGGTTTTCGGCTGTTGACAACCGATTTGAGAGCTTGAAGGAGATACTGAGGAAGCTTATTGAGATGCAATATAAGACCCTATCGATAGTTCAGTTTGCAAACCTTACCCAAGGGTTGGTTGGAGATTCAATGGGTAAATCGAAAGGGAAAGGGATCAGACGTGAGGAATATGCAGAAAAGATTATGCAAGTTCATCCTCCCCTAGGGCTCCGATTGTGGGTGTATTAGAGATTTCTGATTGAGGCGGTTGGGCTAAAATATGTAGAAAAGATTATGCGAGAGGTATAGAAAAGCACAAAAAAGAAAGGAGAGAAGCATGGAAGGGATATGACTATGATTGAAGGAGGGAGTTTTACTCTCTATATATGAGGGAAAACAACGGAGGAAGAAGAAGATGGTAGGAAGTTGAAGATGTTAATCTTCGAGAGGGATGCACACAAGTGAGAGTATCGCGTGGAGCTATACTTCGCGGTAAATGGGTTAGATGAGAAGGAGAAACTCATGGCGGTAGGGTTATGTTTGGAGGGGAAAGCTCTATCCTGGTTTCGGTGAAGAGAGGCTAGTATTTGATCTGTTGATTTTCAGAATTCATCGGAATTATATTATTGATATGAAAATGGGGTATAAATACCATTACATGGATCCTAAAATGGAAAAGACAAGAACAAGAAAATAACATGAAAGGAAAGATATACCACATATATCTCTAATCAAATCATTCATAATAATTATATATGAAAATGGGGTATAAATACCATTACATGGATCTTAAAATGGAAAAGACAAGAAAAAGAAAATAACATGAAAGGAAAGATATACTACATATATCTCTAATCAAATCATTCATAATAATTACTTGGACATAAAGGAAATGATATAAAATAGGAAAAGAAATAAATTTAATCCAATAAAATAAATTTAGCACGGGAAAGAAAATAATTTCAATCTAATGAAATAAATCTAGTCCTCATAACTTCTAACAAGATTAAATTATTTGCTAATATAAATTCTAATGTTCTCCCTCAGGTTGAAATATGGTTGATAAACATATTCAACTTGAATTTGAAAATATCAAACAATGGGCGAGGAAAATTCTTTTTTAGGTAAAACTTGGAGTCTTCATCCCTGCAGCATTATCTGTAGGAGTCTTCTGTCTACTTACAGACACTGTAGAAACTGCATTAAAAAACAACTGCATACAGGTAATGCTGCAAAAAATTTTGCAGAGAAGTAAACAACCTATAGGATTAACTGACTTCTAGTTGACTTTGGAATGAAGACTTCTACTGGTAATGCTGCAAGAAAGTTTGCAAGTATACAACCTACAGAAAAGCTTTAGAGTATGGCTTGTACGTAAAAAAAGGAAGAACACCCGCAGTGAAGGCTGCAGGATATGACTTGCAGAAAAAAAAAAAGAGCACCTATAGGGAAAGTTGCAGCATATGGCCTGTGATATTGTTTGAGAAAGGGCCTGTAGTAGGAAAAAACTTTGGAGAGCTTGTTGCAGGAAAAGATCCGGTGCAAGGTCTGTTGAGATTTAAATATTTCAATTTCTCTTCATTCGATGCTACTCGCTCCATTAAACCATTTGTTATCTGGGTATAGTAAGATTTAAATGTTTCAGGTTATTCAAGGTAACCAATATGTTTAAGCGTTCAATGTTTGAGTAAGATATATCCAGGAATTTCTGACAGCCTAATTGGAGACTTGAAAAAACCTGATCTGCATCAGTAAAAGTTGCTCCAGTAACAATTAACTTTGACAAAGGAGAAGTTGCATTGTTGTCTCCTTCAACTATAGAATGGATAGTGCAGTTACTCGTGTTTAAACAAGCAATAGAAAGAAAATATATTGTCTCCTTCAACTATAGAATGGATAGTGCAGTTACTAGTGTTTAAACAAGCAAAATATATTCTGTTAACTTTGGTCCAAGCTATATTCAAAAAACTCAACGTAAGGAACTTTTCAACGGTAGCAACACTGATGTTTGAAATTTCACTGCCCCATAAATCTAAGTGCTCAAGTAGTTTCAACACCTGTAATGATGATAGTGCATTATCAGTGACAGGAATCCCTCCCAATCCAACACATGGAGATTTACAAAGGAAGAGAGGTAGAGCGCTCCATCAACAATCAATCTTGTTTTTTGACACACATAGCTTCTCCAAACTTGAAATGGACAATAAATGCTTAATGCCATCATCTGTGACCCTTGAGCATCTTGACAGGTCCAATTCTCTTAGGTTTTTTTACCCTATGAAGTCAACCATTTCGACAGAATCCTGGAAAATTACAAGGATGGATGGGAAAAAGGAGGCGGTGGCTGTGCAAACGTCTAAAGAGAGCTTTAGCGAGTTGAGTAGGAAGACGCTCGAGGCTCCTTCATTGCCTCTGCCATTTCTTAACGCTCTTATTGCTTGCAGTCGTGGCTTCAATACAGAGATCCACTAGCCCTCCGTCCTTTTCCATTTTTGCCAGCCTTTCTCTTCTAAGCCTTCTGCGTCCTCTATCAAGTAGGTGTGTAAACAAGCCGAGATTGAGCGAGCCCAAAGCTTGTTCATGTTTGGTTTTTCAAAATTTATTTTTCTTCATGTTCGACTAGTTTATAATTTAAGCTTAAGCAAATTATTTTTGTTCGGCTCATTTACTAGATGAATGAGCCGAACACGAGCTACTTAATAAACAAAACATGAGTTGTTCGTGAAAAAATAACTTTTTTTACTGCCCTACTTGAGATGAGATTGGACTTAGGTTTATTTTTTTTTTCCTTTTGGGCATTTAAATACATACTAACCAATTTCTATCTATTTACATATCTAACACCTAAAGTTTATTTTTTGCATTTATACCAACAAATTTTTTATATGCATTTTTTAAATATAGTATAAAAAATTAATATAAAAATGATATAAATAAGTATTATTATTCAAGTATTTCGAGTCAAAACGAGCTAAACATGAACGCACAAACCTTAGTTTGCATTCGACTCATTTACTAATCGAGTTCAAAAGACTTATTTGTATTCGGCTCACTTGCTTAAGAAACGATTCGGACACGGGCTACTTAACGATGCGAACACAAACTATTCACGAACGACAAGCTTTTTTGATAGCCCTACTACCAAGGGACGGTTGTGGTGAGATGTCGTTGTTGCGATCTTTTTGAAGGCCGACAACTATAAACAAGAAGACAAGGTTGTCCTTGCCCCAGGAAGTATGGGAACTGAGAAATCTCCAGATGGGCGTGCAATTACGGGCTTGCATGGGAAACGAAAGGAAAAAAAATCTCTAGGCAGGCTTGCAGAAACCACCAAGGAAGAATACATAAAGTGTTCACGAGGAGGTCTGCAGGTGAGCTTTTACGGGAGGTAGATCTCATGGGGAGGCCTGCGGGTAGATCTCATGGGAGGTACATAAAGTGTTCACGAGGAGGTCCCTGCAAGAAGGAAAGCTAGCCGGTAGGAGGGAGACCGACAACTAAAAAAATTGCAGGGGAATGAGCTGGCGGCGGGAAAGTCTACAAAAGGAAGTTCCGGCGACAAAAAAGGTTGCAGGAGGAAATTTTGGCGGCAGGAAAGGTTGCAGGAGGATATTCCGTCTGCAGGGCCTGCTGGGAAAAGAAGTTTCCGGCAGAAAAATTAAAATAGTTTTCTCAAAATTTTCCCCATTGAGAGCAAAAGTTCCAAAAAGAAAGATAAATCTTGATAAGAAAACAAGTGTTGATATTGTTGGTCAAGATACTATTTATATTAGTGATGTGGCTGCAATCCCTTTTGAAATTGATTCTAAAAAGTAATGAAAAATCTAAGAAAACGAAGGGGAAG